AAACAGTATTCTGTACAGAAGTGTTAGGTTACTTACAATAGGATAAGTAAACATTGTGGCTTACCTGAACAACATTTACAAGTGTAAGTACCCTTCTCATTAAACAGTATTCTGTACAGAAGTGTTAGGTTACTTACAATAGGATAAGTAAACATTGTGGCTTACCTGAACAACATTTACAAGTGTAAGTACCCTTCTCATTAAACAGTATTCTGTACAGAAGTGTTAGGTTACTTACAATAGGATAAGTAAACATTGTGGCTTACCTGAACAACTCTGCATCACAACATTTACAAGTGTAAGTACCCTTCTCGTCATGGAGGTAGAACTTCCCACTAAATGGCTGAAACAAGACACTAAAAATTAACTCCATCTCGGTCAACTTTCCAACTGAGAGAATATGACAATTCCAGCTAATTTTTACTAAATAACATTTATGTGAAGGTGCAAATTACAGGGACTAACTTTTAGATTAGATGCAATTATGTAGAATAGTTACATTTTATTTCAAACTTATATTTACTTACTTGACTGTATTTTAAAATTAATAAGATAAACATAAGAATTTTCAACTCGGTTACTGAGTTTCTTAAGAATTACTTTTGTTTTAGTTATAAAACATCTAGACACATACGTACTGGCTCTGTTCCTTGTTGTCGACAAACATAATATTCCTCTGGGCTTAGTTTTTCTTGCCAGTCCTCATTATTTAGGTGTTTTGGTCCACTCTCCTGTTTACTTGAAGCTGAAACACAAGTTTCTCATGAAGATACAAAATCTTGTAGTTAAAGATATTAATTCATCATAAAATAAATAGCAACATAACAAGAAGCTGTAAAACTTTCTGTTTGTAGTTTCTGTAAGAACCAACCTCACAAGTGAAACTCAACTAACATATCCATATTTAACACAACATGTGGAAAACCATTTAGTCCTTCAAGGTTGTCCACCTTTGAGAAAAGTAAAAATTTAAACTCTCATTTTATTTGTAAAGAAATCATCGATAAAGGTAAGCTTTTATAAATACTGACAAAACCACTCTTCTAAAAGAGCTAACTTCATCACTTCACTGCAGGCTAGGTATTCTGATGTCTCCATCTCTTCACTGTAGGCTAGGTATTCTGATGTCTTCACTGCAGGCTAGGTATTCTGATGTCTTCACTGTAGGCTAGGTATTCTATTGTGTTCATTTCTTCACTGTAGGCTAGGTATTGTCTTCATTTCTTCACTGTAGGCTAGGTATTCTCTTCTCTTCACTGTAGGCTAGGTATTCTCTTCTCTTCACTGTAGGCTAGGTATTCTCTTCTCTTCACTGTAGGCTAGGTATTCTGATGTCTTCATATTGTATCTTCACTGTAGGCTAGGTATTCTGATGTCTTCATTTCTTCACTGTAGGCTAGGTATTCTCTTCTCTTCACTGTAGGCTAGGTATTCTCTTCTCTTCACTGTAGGCTAGGTATTCTGATATCTTCATTTCTTCACTGTAGGCTAGGTATTCTGATGTCTTCATTTCTTCACTGTAGGCTAGGTATTCTCTTCTCTTCACTGTAGGCTATATATTCTCATCTCTTCACTGTAGGCTATATATTATCATCTCTTCACTGTAGGTAAGTATTCTGATGTCTTCATATCTTCACTGTAGGCTAGGTATTCTGATGTCTTCATATCTTCACTGTAGGCTAGGTATTCTGATGTCTTCATATCTTCACTGTAGGCTAGGTATTCTGATGTCCACGAAAGACTAATGATTATTACTATCTAAACACTTAGAGTGTTCGTGCTCAGATTATATAATTTTTCTTTTAAGGTAGCACTGACCCTTAAAACTGGGTAAATTTACATGCTGAGAGGAAACACCGTAAAATGTGGTGCATGCACACATTTACCAAAAGCTTATTGACATTTAAGTGCAGATGTTA